ATTATTTTGAAAATAAAAATATATAAAAAGAATGAATGCTAATGAATTTTTGAGTTCTGGTGTATTATGAATTAATTCTAGGAGTTCAGGCAGTCTTGGTGGGCAGCAAGTTGGAAAAGCTGGTTTAGATAGTTGGCACAATGCAAGATCCGTCTCTACAGGGTTTTCATGATAGTAACGTTCAGACCACTGACTCATCTAAGTTATCCACTATCCATCCACTAAAACTATCCATTAAAACTGCTCAGATCTGATCTGCAGCAAACATAAAGTCCTCTGAAGCCTAGTTCAATTGGATGACCAGCTTTAGGGTATTTTGTGATGTGATATTCTAAACACCAGTGAGAACACTGACATTCATCTAACATTGGGGTTGTTGTGGTTGGTTTCCAGAGAGTATCTGCATTTATTTTCTAGCTCTTCCACCCTTCTGTCCCATTGGTGTTCTTGTTGTTTGAGACAGGATTCCAGAGGAATGGATGGAAAAGAAGAGAAGAAAACTTTGGTGTTGTTTTCACTATAATAAGTCTGGTACAATAAATACCAGTATGTGTAAGAACAAACAAAGGGGGGGGGGAGAGACTTCATGTGAATTCCCATGTAATTCATCATGCACCTGTAAAAGCATCATCATCATCATCATCATCATCATCATCATCATCATCAGATTATAAAATTCTCAAAAACTTACCATGGCAGGTAGGTAAGGCTCTGTTCCATCCAGGTCTTCCATCATCTCCCATGATGCAAGTAAGGGTAGAGTATCCTTCAAGAACATAGCCAGCATCACAATAATATGTGACTGTTGATCCCAGTTTATAATCCATTCCAAGTCTTGTACCATTCATTATATTCCCAGGATCAAAGCACGACTCACGTAATTTGGCTTTAATTTGAGCAGAGGGGAAAGACAGTGCTGCTGTTAGAACACAACATTTAATTTGATGTATTTAATTTTAAAAAATATTGTATGCCCATATGAGACAACCAGCATAACAATACTAGGCATCATCTTTTTTCTAAGTACATATTATGCCATCAGGTAGTCTGAAATAATCTTTGTGAGGAAAGATGTCAAAAGCATCTTGGATTTTTATTTCCCTTGTGCTAAACAAGATTGAGTTGCTCTAATTACTTCCTTTTCTCCCACCACCAATCTTGCTTTTAAAAACAAAGCAAAAAGCTAAAACAGAAAGGAATCACAATTCTAATAAGGGATAGAATATTTCATTTTTTTTCCTCTCCCACCGTTTTTTTTTTTTTTTTTTCTATTTCAAACATCACATACAATGATGTCTGTGGGGCAGTGTGGAGGCTCAGACTGATGAAAGCAGTGTTGTGATGGTGCAATGCATGTCTCTTTTCTTTGTGTGTTATGATGCTACAGGCACACCCCCAAGGGCCAGACCTTGCAGCACAATGCTAGAATACTGAGACATGCGTTTGTCACAATAACAAAAACAGCCAGGTCTCAAGGATACGACCCTCACTATTCTGTTTTTAAAATCAAAGAGTTCTTATAACTTTCCCCTCGAAGGTGGGAAAACAATGACATCCCTGATCTGAATTAGAAATAAAAGCAACAACAACTATATGTGATTACAGGGTTAAATCATTAGTCATTATTCCCATGCATTTGTATGCCTACATTCTTCATAATTCCTCCTTTATGTCATAGATATGTTAAATCTTGGTGGTATTCATGACAGAATATACAAGACAGAAGCAAATTACATCATATTAAATTTAAGTGGGGAGGCTAGAGTAGTCTTTTTCACCCTGCTATGTTTCATGAATTCATTCCTATAAAATCCTCTCTGTGGTGAGAAATACTTCTGCCCATACATAGGTTAATTCTAATTAATTAATAGGTTAATTCTTCTAAAGCAGCGTTAAAAAGTAACAATATTGCTGTAAGTCATTTAAGATTCCTATATGGCACATAGTAAGCAACCATTTCACATAAAATAAAATTTAAAAAATTAACATATCACAAATAAGGTAAAATGAAGAAATGGCACATAAGCAAAATGACATGATTCTTGACTTAATGCAAATAGATATTTTAAAGTAGTTATACTGGACAGAATATTTCAACATCCATGACCAAAATTAACAATAGAGTTACACTTACCTTTATATTCCAAATGGAACCCAGTAAAACTAACAGATCCATCACTTCGAAAAGCCAAATGCATTGAGTTTGAACTACTTTCTATTCTCTCTGGCAATTTGCTATCTTGAAAGCTTCCAATGAGTGGGCTATTGCTGTCGGGCCCATCATAGATGTAGAGAAAGTCATAATTTGGTTCTATACTGAAGCTGTAAAATAAATAACAAATCCAAAAACAAATAGAATAAACAAATCAAACAAAAACAATCAAAAACAAATAAAAATAAAGCATATAAAAATAGATAAAAATATGGCTTGCACAATAACTTGTGTAGACCACTGTCGTTAAGGAAACAAGTTAGACTTAAGTAGTCAGTGATTGTTTGGTTCTACAGTGATTTATTGGTTCTATTTTAAGTATAACTATAAGCCTGAATTCAACCCATTATATATAATTAGTATCTTCTAAATGTGAATAAGCAACAACCTTGTATTTGCTTGGATTTCTTTTTAGGAAAGAACTCTTCACTTGTGCTAAAAAGTACATTAAAAATGCTTGTCAGTTTTTATTCTTTTATTTATAAATTAGATGTTTACAATTAGCATAATCTTTTTTTTTTAATACTAGTTCAAGAGAATAGTTGAAAACCAGTGTCGTTTAGGTGCAGCTGTGTGAAAATCTTGAGAAGGATGTCCTATGTCCATCACCTTGAGCTCCTAATAAAGGAAAGTTCAGATATAGATCTAATAAATAGATAACTTCATAACCCCCTTTTTATGTTGGAATAGAAATATGGGTCATAAATTCATAAATAAATTCATAAATAAATAAATAAATATTATCCCAGTAAAAGGTGTTTGATTGCTTTTGTTCTCGCTTTGGGTTTTGGAGAGCACAACAGTCAGTATTTAAAGTGGCACATAGAAAAATTAATTTTTCTTTCTTTCTTACAAATTAATGCATCTTTTTAAGATCATTGTTCCATATCTCCTCTGTCCCAGGATTTGCTGTGACCTTTTGTTGTTTTTTTCTTTCAAAAATATCCCATCTATTTTATCCTTTGTAGGTCAGAAAACCTAACCTACAAAGGTATGGTTAATAGATTTCCTTTGTTTAATCTCCAACTTTATTTTAGGTCCCGGACTGTGTTTGAGAATTTGAACAAACAACATTTAATAACTAAGATACCGTGGTTCACCTAAGCCTTTCTATTATGTAAATATGTGGCTCATAAAATGGATTCTTAATCTGACGATGACATTTCCCTTTCATCTCATACATTCATCTCTTCCAAAAGCTGTAAACCTATTTTAGTTTGGAGACAAAGATACAGATTGTCAGCATTAAACCTTTATGGGCTGGATTATGTAACATTATAAATGTGTTCATTCTCAGCATGATTCATATTGCTTCCATCCTATTCACCCATTACTCATGCACAGGACGGTTTAATGGTGCCATGTTCTACAACAGCATGGCATTCATTTCAGTCTATCTTGCCCTATCTTGTCCTCATCATTGTCCACCAGGAACAGACATGAGTAGCTTCTCATGCCATACAATATGCAACCTGGGATTCATCTCAAATAGCCTCTAGGCACCAACAGTTGCTCAACTGCGATTTTTATAGAGATACATGGATCCTGGAAGGCAGGATTAGACAAAGATTAGAATATAAGGGGCACAGTTTCTATAATCACACCATTGGTGCACTACACAAGAAAACAAATGTAGAAGGTTTCTCTGGTATCTACATGTGTGGCCACAATTCACTGCTATGACTTCAAATGGTGAATATGTCTTTGGTCATTCCATTTTACATCTATTTTACAAAAAAAAAAAAAAAGCACAAACTTATGTTACATAGGGAAGAGAAGGGATAATTTTACCAAGCAACATTCTTAAAACAAAACAAAAGACCGTCTTAATCCTAATGCCATTTAGTAGTAATTTAAAGCTGTTTTGTCTTCCACAGAGAAGGATAGCACTGAGCAACTGATTTAATTTAATTTATTTATTATATACCCCTCCCCCCATCACCACAATTCTGTTTTATGCTATGTTCTTCTTTCAAATTTATCAGCTGACACTATAATTTCTGTGAAGTGAGGAAAACTGTATTCATTGTGTTAATATTATAGTATAATAATCTTGATTCATTTATACTTTAAACTTACTTCTTAGTGGAAAACACATAATACATAAATCCATAAGGCTGGAAAGAGCCAACAAGGGCATCAAGACCAGCCCCGACTCAGTGCAGAAATCCAGATTAAATGCACTCAGTTTCAATGAAGGAGAACTTCACTGACCTACTCTTAATTGGATACACTTTTCTATGTGCTAGACCTTCATAGGCTAAACAGGGGTATAGGTATCTTCTAAATTCATGTTATAAGTGTGGAACTTCTGGAAAATAAATGAGTCCCTATGGTTACTCTTCTAACACTCTGAAACCTAAATCCTTCAAATTTCCCCAAGTCTTTGGTACTGACGAAACAGCAGCAAAATAAAACAAAAGAATCCATTTGTAAGTCGTTTCCCACATACAGAATGTCTTAAATTCTCTAAATAGGCAAATCACCAAGAGTCGGTGTTGGCATCTTCTTAGTATAAAATCTTTCTGCATCTCCCAAGGTACCTAACACGCTCATAATAGCTGTTCAATTCTTGTTTTATGACTTGGCTGGCTTTTATTGATTGGCATAATTCATTCCTTGCACTATTTCTGGGCACATTAATTGTATTGCCTTATTCTTTTAATTGGATATTGCTCAGGGAATTTAAACTAAATGGCAGCCGAGAAATATAATAAGCGATGAAATAATGTTTAAGTAAACAAATAAATAAAACAAATACTTTTTCCCGGCTGATCTGCTTGTGTTCTAGGCGATTCATTTTTGCTTTGCTTATAGATATTTAGTATTGATGAAACAATAAATATTCATACCAGAATATAAAGAACAGCAGAAAAGCTCTTAATTTGGTAGCTTAGATTTATTGCTGTTAATGCATTTTCTAGGGTGCCTTGCTGATCATATCTGACAGACAAACAGGGTAGAAATTAAACAGGAAAATAGCATGGGTCTCCAAATATTAAAGTGCACTGAGTTTTAACATATAATCCTCTTTTTTTTTTCCCCTAGCAAACTTCTAAATACCTGTACCTCATAAAAACTGAGATAAAATGTTCTGACAACCCCATCAAATGTGTTACTCTGGAACAGTGTTCTCAACCTTGGCCACTTTAAGATGTGTGGAAGTCCACACATCTTAAAGTGGCCAAGGTTGAGAAACGCTGGTCTGGAAGCTAAAAGTGCCTGGATTTGAAAAGCATTTGTCTTAGCAGGGTTATTAAAAAACAGAAATCTCAAGAGACCTGGAATCAGTATATTATTAAAAGTTGACCAAGCAGCTACTTACCTGATAAATGCTAATGATATTACGTAGTCATTGTTAACAGTAATAGTCCAGTCACAGTCTCTGCTGTGGGGATAAGGATGTGGGAAGTTTGGTGAAAGAATAAAACCTGATGAACCCGTCAGATTGCCGCCACAAGGTGCTGTGAATGAATTAAACAAAGAATGTAAATGAGTGAGTTGCTTCACTGTTCCATTATATTTTAAATCAGTATAAAAGAACAAACAATAAACCAAGTGAAAAAAATATTACCTTTGGGCTGTACAAAGGCACATATGCTAATTTATTCTTCTAACACTATTTAATGCTATTTTTCAGTACCTTTAAATTAGGAAGCGTTCTGGTCAAAGAAACAGGAAGAAGGGAGACACCTTTAAGAATACATTCAAGCTTTTGCACTACGCTTCCATTGCCTGAACTTTTATATGAAAAGTGCTACTCTGAATAAGCCACGTGAATATCAAGTCACATAAAGAGGACCAGCATTTAATGATGGATATACATAAATATATGTTAGGAACAAGATACAAAATAGTGCATTTGACAGCAAATATGTTAACATGGAATTGCGTATTAAAGCAGAGTGTATCACTAACATATTTTTCTTATATGGCTACCATCTACAACTCCTGGGAGTTGTAGCTCCAACTGATCTGGACAACAGATTTTTTTTTTCTTTATTCAGCATTGGATTTTATTCCCTATGTTCCTCACTATATGTTTTATTCTCTATGCTCCTCTTGTTAATTATAAAAGTAAACAGGTCTATGAATAATTCAGACAGTTGGAATTATTTTTGTTTGCTCAGTTTTTCAGTGGATCTGCCAGAAGGAAGCCCATTTATGATAACATGATTCATGTAAATATGCAGTTACTTTTATAATTACAAAAGGAAGACACAATTATAATCCAATGTTTCCCTAAGACAAGCCAGCTCACACAACAGATCTTCCCTAGGAACTGCTCTCTAAATACAGCTTTCCTCATCATCAATAGTTAATCATCAACATTAACAGGTAATAGGTAATCAATACCCAGATATACAGGAACCAGCACTAGATAAACAAGAGGAAAGACTAAGCAATACTTCAGCCAAATGGCAATCAAACAATCATTACATTCTTACAGCCTGGAAGCTATTCTTGGCCAAGGATGTCCCTCAGCTTCTCTATGGTATTCAAATCTGCACTCTTACCAAGTTCATTATTCTTGAAATTATTTGAACTAAGTTTATTAGAGCCATTCATGAAGTCCCAAAATGTATTAAGAATGCCATTTTAGTTGTCAACTTTTAGTTAAAATTAATTCTCTTTTCTGTAGGTCAGATGCCTTAGGGATAGCTTTAAATCAACGTGGCTTAGGAAAGCTACAGATAACATCCATTTATTGGGGTTTTTCAATTGAGACTTTCTGGTCCTTAGGCTTTGAAAAGGCCAGATGCACTCTCAGGCAATGGATCTGGGACATGGACCTTCAATCTAATGTAAACCTAGTGTCTAATCTTATAATTCAGGAAATTCTTCCAAAAGGGTTTGTACCAGCCTCCTATTTATCATCTATTACAGTATGGCTGTGAGAGCTGGACCATAAAGAAGGCTGAGCGCCAAATAATTGATGCCTTTGAACTGTGGTGCTGGAGAAGACTCTTAAGAGTCCCCTGGACTGCTAGGAGGTCAAACCAGTCAATCTTAAAGGAAATCAAC